GTTCATTAACACCCTTGAGTTAGCGAATTTTTGAGAAACTGGATAGCTCTAAATGTCTATTTTTTTATTTTGAGTCTTGTGCTAAAGTTATTCTCCTGTGTCGCATGTTCAGCCTTATTCACTGGTGTAAATACATACACATTTCCCCAATTTATTCCCAAACTCATGACGCTCGTACGTAAATGTTTAGATTATTTGCGACGATATACTGAAGAGGTGCGAAATAAAATTACCTTCTCTATTATAATTATTTGCATTTTTTAGTTGTTAAGGTAACAGGCTAAGACTTTTTTACAGCTTCGATATTTGCTGATTTATTTGATTAAGCAAAAATATTTTGCAAAGATATATAAACATTCGGCCCAGATTATCATTGCAATAAAGACATAAATAGAGCAGCTGCGTGCAACTTAATTACGTACTCAATAAAATCTTAATTGGAATAATTAAGGGTAAAAGTTGGAGTGAACTGAATAAAGGGTATGAAAGTTTAAATGGAATGAATAAAGGGCATGAAAGTTTAAATGGAATGAATAGAGGGCATGAAAGTTTGAGTGGAATGAATAAAGGGTGAAAGTTTGAGGGGAAATAAATATAGGGTGACAGTTTGAATGGAATGAATTATAGGGCATGAAAGTTTGAGTGGAATAAATAAAGGGTGAAAGTTTGAGTGGATTGAATGTGGGATATAAATTTTTGAGTAGAACGAATAAAGCATATGAAAGTTCGAGTGGAATGATTAACCATTTTTTCGAACGCAATCCACACAGCATCTGCTCTATTCAGAAGTACAATTCTACGCTATGGCTCGTATGATATGCGCCAAGGCATGATTAGTATGCATCATTTCTATCTCTGGTGCCATGGAATTTACATAATCCCGTATTGAAGAAACTTCAATTTATTTTTGCCGACAGATCTTCAAAAACTTTGATATGATAGCTCAGGGCTTGGAAATATTCAATTTTAAATCATTCACGCATTTTAGAGAAGCGCTTCAGTGACATCAAAGCCGTGGATTGCTAGGGTGAGCGGCTCAACTCATATTCTAAAGCTTTTTCGATTTTCAACATGGCTGCTGCAGCAAAGAAATTTTCAGCTTCAAAATCTACGCATGCGGTAGGTATAATTGAAAAATAATTTTAAGTAACGAATTAAGGGAACTGTTGTGACAGTTAATTGTATATGCTGAAGATTTTCATTTTGATTTGAAAGCCTATTTTGGGAATCCTTATTTTTGTTTTATACATAGATTAGCTCCCTAAAATATATAATATCGGTCGTCCTCTGAGAAACGTTAAAGTAAAATTATGCTCCTTCCTTTTAGTCAGAGATCAGAAATGACTTGTTTAAGATATGTTTAAGGAATTTTTCGTATGGAATCATTCCCATAAGATAGTTCGGATGGAATCATTTCCATAAAATCATTCAAATGGAAAAATACTAAAGTCTCAATCGCGTGGGATTATTCGTAAGTAATCATTCGTATAAGATCATTATTATTATTGAATCATTCATTTAGGATCACTCGATCGTTTGCAAAAAGAATCATTCACAAGGGATAACTTTTCAGAATCATTTCCATGGGATCATTCGTACGCGATAATTTTTTGCCAGTAAAACTTGGTATATTATTCCATTCTAAGGAAATATTCTATTTGAAGCGCATGTTTCTATCAAGGTGTCGCACATGGACACATTCGATGCCGTCGCATCGAGCGTCTCGCAGCAATCGAAGAAACTTCTTTTCAAGAAGCGTAGCCACAAATGCCGTTGCCTGCGTCCGACAAACGTCGTCTGGAGGCACAAAACTCGATTACATCCTCACTCGAGAAAGTCGGACCCGCGTATTTTATCTGTCAAACACACGCACGCAACCGTGAGCGTCAGGCTTACGAGACTTGGTTACTCTTTGCAGAGAAAACACCTAAAGAAAACAAGGGGTGCGTATAGAGCTGTTCCCAAGATTCCATTGAATTTCAAGAAACATATGATAAATCCTTGGTTTCAATTTTTCAAAAAAGTTTGGTGAAATTAACGTGAGGAAATCTGGCACGGATTTTTTTAGGCAGAGAGAAAATTCTGACAGTTTTCGGATATTTTGTCTTTCGTGGATTTTGCAGCCGTCGTTCGTAGCATTCTGATAAAATGATTGGTGGTGTTTTAGTCTAAGCCACTTATTGGGAAGACATCTTTTTAGTTTTGATCTAGAATGAAACCCTCCAAGTTACGTACTGTATTTGTATAAAACAATAATAAACGCAATAATAAAAACGTGTCGGTATAAGCAAAATACATAAACCATAAAAAGAAATGTTTAAATTATAATATCGGTCTGTTTGCATGACAAATAACCCCGATCTGTAATATTATAGTCGTAAATTGTAAAACAATAAAAATTTGCCTCTATATGGAATTGTTTGTAGACAGACGTTGCGCACGGCAATCGGTCCCCGACAGCTATCAATCGTAGACGGACCGGAAACCGATAGCTATCAATCGTAGGCGGCCTGGAGACCGACAGCTATCAATCGTAGACGGCCCGGAGACCGATAGCTATCAATCGTAGACGGCCCGGAGACCGACAGCTATCAATCGTAGACGGCCCGGAGACCGACAGCTATCAATCGTAGACGGCCCGGAGACCGGCATGTCACGGAGCGGAATTTCACTTGCGTTGAATGCATTCCGGAGTTCCGGGCACGGCCGTAGAATTTATAACAGCCTAGGCAGCAAGTTCTCTTATATGAATATCAGAACCTTTAACCTCAGTAAAAAGATCGATGTTATCTTATTGCAGCCTCAGCCAGGGCATCAGGTCATGCTTGATGGACAACAGAACATTGAGCCTTATTAACGTAATTTTTTTTTATTTCAGCCTGAGCACCAGGGTGTTGTTTGATGAACTTCAGAACCTGAAACTTTAATAAGAAAAAAGTTTTTTATTGCGGCCTGGGCCATAAGTCCTGTTTGATGGACATCAGAACCTAAAACCTTAACAAGCATTAAGGCTTTTCATTTCAGCCTGGGCATCAAGTTCTGTTTGATACACACCAGAACCAATAACCTCAATAACACCGAAGCTGTTTTAATTGCAGTAAAGGCATCAAGTCCTGTTTAATGGGCATTAGGACCTAGAGCCTAGTATGCATATGGACTATTACATAATAGCCGAGGAATCAAGTCCTACTTTGAGAGCCATAAGATTTTAGACCATCATCATGGACGCTCATCAGTGAACTGCAAACCGTGAAACCCTTGCAATACTTTCTTGCAACATTTTCTCTCGTGCCCTGTTTCGGTTAACATTATTTCTGCAGCCTATTGTAAGATCGTAGATGTTAGATCTTACCATACCATCTACTTAATTCCTATTTTACACTCATGCATCAATTGAACCAACTTAAAAAAACAAACTCATTGCTTGTTACATGTTTGGTTTCACAAATAAAATCGCAAGCACGTTAAACTCATACAAAATCCTGTCATCAACTCCCGCGCTGTTTTATTTCCAGTTCATTTCATTTGTTGGAAAAACAGAAATTTCGTCTCCGTCGAGATAATAATCTGTAACATCGGAGCAAATTTGTTAATGAGATACGAGTGCGACCATCGCTCAGCGTCATCATTATTTCTTCAGAGGCTCAGTCTTGCTGGCCCACGCATCGGAAAACTGCAGGGAACGAACGTAGCTCCGGCGTCCCAGGGAAGATGATGCATGGAACGTGGCTGTGATAATGAATGACCTTAGCGGTCACATGGAAAAATATGCCCTATTACAAACAATTACGTTCCCAGTTATTAGAGTAGTTAACTTGCTGGCTTTATTCTTCTGAATTAAGTTGGAGAGATAATTATAATTAGGGAAAGTAATTTTTATGTTTATTTCATAGGTACAAATAAAATACCGGTATGTTACTTAACTAAGAAAATTTCTTTCATCAATTCAGTTGCTAACCCGCACGTTGTCTAATAAATTTATTAGTTGTGTCTTATATGAGGATACATCGCCGGTAACAATGAGTTTTTCTCACCGCTCCAAATGATGGGCAGTGCGACGTTAAGTCTCCCGCGCTGCGAAGTGCTAACACAAAAAGCTTCCTTGTGTGTGCATTGTGCAAGCGCCCCGCGGCCATCAGCTGTGGAATACTCTGGTTGAGCAAACAAAGACTTCAATCTTACTTTATTTACGTTTTAATTTGCAACTTTTAATATTTACCTAACAAGGCTAGCAACTTGGAAATTAATTTTGTTTGTGCATTTAAATTTATAGCTTTGAGAAAGAACCAAATTAGCTTCGCGCGGCTGTTAAAATGTTTTCTACAGTGTAAATTATCGTCAAAATTAAAAAAAGTAATGATTTACAAAATCTAAGGAATTTGATTGTATTAACAGGTCGTAATTCAGATCTGACCTTATTTCTTCAATGAATTTTGTCCCGAGCAAATTCAGATATCCACTTGAAATTCCCCGAATAACACGCACTCGATGCCCGTTTCAGACACCGCCCATGTCATGCTGATGCACCACCTCTGAAGTCTAGCAGGAATCGCTCACCAGCAACACTAATGAACATACTGAGTTGCATTAGGATCGAACTACTCATCTCTCTGCCACTACTACCCTATTGCAGTAGTTACTCAATATAAATCTTAAATAAATTACCCTTGATTAAATCTTACAGGCTCGGCAAATCTTACATACATCGGCTGATGTATAATTATTCGGATTTTAAGTAGTAGAATAAATTATTTCGCCTTGGAATAGAAAAAATATTAGCGATACACGCATCCTCGATCGTTCAATTATCAAAAAGTCTGTTAATTGGAGCCGCATTTGGAGTGCTGTGGTCGTAAGTCGTGATGCTTGACACTTTATTTCATAAAAATTTGTTTTTATTATCGTTGAAAATTTGTTGTTGATGTCCTATGACAATATTGTGTAACAACCAGAAATAATATCCGTAAAATATTTTTAAATGTTTTACTTTCTTGTTAACAGTAACCTGTTTATAGTTTCAAAAAGCCGAAAATCTTGAAGATGGACAATTTAATCAAAACCTAAAATATCCAGGTGCAATTAAAATATCGCTTTTCGAAATAATGAACAAATGCAAGTAATAAATCTGAACAATTGCATAGCAACATGATTGAAACATGCACAATGTGTTATTGCAGGACAGCTAATTAAATTGAAATAGGGCAGCACTGCAGTGCAAAGTACAAACTCCAGTAAATTAAGATAGCTGGCCTTGCTGGCCCTACTAACAGTGCGTAATTGTGTGCCGGTGTAGCGCAGCGTTTCTCTTAGTGAGCCCTGAGCGACATCCAATATGGCGTGGCCATCGTTATGCTCAAGAAGATTGACAACAACTAACAGTTATGCTTTGCTGATGCTCGTGCTCTTGCTCCAAAAAGCCGGTAAGTGTATTGAAGTTACTGTATTATTTTATATAATCTATAAAATGGTTCTTCCATGTAATAATTTATTTAGATATTCAAGAAAATTTATCGTAGTAGAAACAATTTTTAAGCCTTGGAGCAAAAAAACTGTTGCATTCCGCACACGGTTTAAAATTACACGAATAAAAAAATAGTAGTTAATGAGGATATTGTTGAGGAGAATTTAAATTTTCTTGTTTGCTGGAGAGTTAATGAATGAATAACTGTACACAACTCACTCATACTAAATTGGGTGGTTAAATTTTACGATGGCTGAAAATCCAAGCAGGTGTGAAAATGATGTTAAACCCGATTTGAATCTCAGGGATTCAAACTGCAGGATACTTCGTTTACTTCCTTATGTGAGGGTTTATGTAGCTGGATCATCAGTATGTAAATAGTGAGCCTGTCACCAATGGAGTAGCAACCAAGAATCTGCTGAAAAATTAAACGGATATCGGCTAACCCAGTAAAAAAGAGCTCTAATATTAGTTTCTTCGAAACTGATTAGCCGGACAAAATAGCCTGACAATCGTTGATGAGCCAAAATTAGTCGTGTTTAAAGTTAATAATTGTTATATATAAATAATACGAGTAATAATAACAACAACAATATAGTAATAACAGTAATGCTAGTAATTATACATAATGATATATAATTAGTATAGGTTGGCAGAATTTCTTCTTTCAAGCAGGTTTCATTGAAGACCAGAGAATTTGTTTTATTTGCAATTTTCTTATTAGTTTTTTAAATAAAACAAATTCTCTGGTCTTCAATGAAACCTGCTTGAAAAAATGATATATAAGGCGCTATTTCCCCAATAGGAAAAGGATTCTCGAAGGCAGAAACAGAGCCGGCAAACACGAGCGTGGCGGCGCTGGATCAGCCGCGCTTCAGCCACGATCAGCTGACCGTGAACATCTCTGTTCAGCGCGGCAGCTCCGTGCATCTGCACTGCAAAGTTACTGGCCTCAGAGATCAGTCCGTGAGTAATATTTCTCTGTGTCTCAGTCGTACTAAATACTAATAACTTTCTTTTGAAGGCATAATGAAATCCGATCCCTTTATTTAGGGAGCTGAATAGAGTTACAGGCATCGGAGAAAGTTCTTTGTTTTCCGTTATAAATAAGGAATTTTTTGTTGATGAATATTTTTTCAAATACCGTACCGCAATATAAATAAAATTGTCCGATAGGTATAATATGGTTAATTAAAGACTAACCAATTGACTTAATGATTTGTAATATCTAGGAGAATAATTTAAAAAATTTCCAACGGAACCAAGGTTCGCGCATGCAGAATAGAATAATGAAGCTGTTAATAGAAGCTGCTATTGAATTCTACCGCCTCGGTAGAATGGTGATGCAGATTAATTTTAGAATTGATAGCAAAAAATAAAAAAAGTTATACCTTAACATTGATGACATGAATATTTACGGAGGTTTTGCTGCATTACTGATGTCTTTATAAATCATTATCAGTATTGACCATATAATCATCACTTTAGACCACCATCATCTGAATAGACCGTCATCATCAATTTATATTATCACATTGTTTTGATGCAGTCCACAGGAGAAAAATAAGAGCTACAAACGTCAGGATTTGCCGTCACTTATTAGGTTCGAGCCGATGACGTGCGCCGAACAACGTATGAACTTGGTCTACGGAAACATTAACTGTCCTCAATGTTATTTGCATAGTTAAAGCTATTTCGAAAAATCGCGGAAATTTTCAAGTTTCTTCGTACTAAGCAAAATAATATATCAGATTTTTTTACCTCAATGATGTTTTTGTTCTGATTTTCGCATGTCATTGAATTTAAAATTTATCAGTAAATAAATCTTATTCCACACCACCGTAGAAGTAAATTTGTTTATTAATAACATAATACCTATTAAACCCAGTGAAAAATTGTTTTCATTCCTAATTCAGTATAGTCAGTCAATTAAGTTGCATTTACGTTTTACATCAAGAATCACCACAGCCAGGCGCTGCCATTAAATCAGTTCAAAGTCTGCCATCATGAATGATCGTGGCAAGAAGTTGCCATCAAATCAGTTCAAAGTCTGCCATCATGAATGATCGTGGCAAGAAGTTGCCATCAAATCAGTTCAAATTCTCTCAATGGATGTCAGTCCATTGACTGCCAAGCAATTCTTTGCTTTCATATCAGAGAGTTATGGCTTCAAGTGGAGCTCAAGAATATTTATTGCCGAATGAAGCTTGAATATTTTCATTGGGTGATAAATTCTCAAGCAATGAGGCTTAAAGAACCTGCTAGAGAGATGGACGATGCGCCCGTAAACTTAATACAAGGTCATGCATAAGGTGCCTGTAGGCGTAGGCTTAATTTGATGCAAGGCCTTGCATAAGGTGCCTTGTAATCTTGGTCGCTTAACAAATCAACGGCTCTCGCTGTTGTCACGATAGTCCGCTATTGAAGTCTGAATACAGACAAAAAGAAAGTTTTCAGTATCTTATTTAATTTTTTTAAAGGGAGGAGTAATGTATGTAGTCATGTAGTCAGGGGAGGGTTAGACCAGCCCAATATGACTCACCCGCCAATAAAATAACGTTTCCTGGTTCAATATATTTTTTTATCAAGGCTGAAATCAATAGTCTAAAGAAGAGCACTGACAAGAAATAAATATCTCATAAAATAATTCAGATAGGACATGAACATTTGTAGTTGATATGTTATAATTGAAAATTTATTTTAAAAATATTATTGTTAAAATTCCAAAATAATTATAAATAAACTTCTCATTTATTTTGCACACATTTAACAAGCTACATGCATGCTACAGCTTCACTAGGTGTGATCCAGAGAATAACAATACCATATCACCATTTGGGTGAACAGTGAACACGCGTCCTTCGCCTCCATTGAATGGCAGAGATGAGCTGCGGCTTCTAATCTCCATATATGAATTTAATTCTGCTTGATATTAAAATAGTTTTAATGTTGTTCTGCCTCACGTTGGGCGGACACTGGCGGTGCCTTATACGCGATGCATGAGCTAATACATGATGACCCTGTCTCTACTGTATGTTGGTGCTGCCCAGCATACACTGTATGTTGATGCTGCCAGCATACACTGTATGTTGGTGCTGCCCAGCATACACTGTATGTTGGTGCTGCCCAGCATACTCTGTATGTTGGTGCTGCCCAGCATACTCTGTATGGTGGTGCTGCCCAGCATACACTGTATGTCGATGCTACCCAGCATACACTGTATGTCGGTGCTGCCTAGCATACTCTATGTGTTGGTAGCGTAATATATGTACATATGTGTGCCCCGTGTATTATATAGCACGCGTTCAGCGACTGTAAACTGAGAACTTCAAGTCAAGTTTATCAAGTTTACGAACTCGACGCGTTGTCTTCACGCTGTAGCGTCTGTCGAACATTCTGAAATCCGGACAGCACAGAGAAGCCAGAGCGCGTGTCTCGAATAATTGAATGAACGCCCTCAGAAATGCTGACCCGCAGGTTCTGTTAGCAACAGAGCAACATCAAACGTAGACCTGCCATGTCATCAAGGACTCTACATTCACCTCCTCGTATAGTGATAATAAATGCTTTGTGGGTTTGTGCGTGAAACGGGAAACTGTGAAACTCTTGTATTTTACTTTTTTCTGTATACGGTTGTATGTTCACGATAACTGTTCTTTTTTACTTTGCATGGCCATATGTTCACTGTTCACCACAATCTGTTTACTGTTCTTTTCATTACCATCTGTTTCAGGTTCTTTTCACTACCATCTGTTTACTGTTCTTTTCGCCACCATCTGTTTTCGCAATTGAATGGATTAAGCACGGTTAACGCGATCGACAAATGTAAAAATTGGACATAAAATTCTTCATTCTCAAATGAAGAAAAATAGAGTTCATCAGCAAAATCTGACGTGTAAAATCACTTTAAAGGGAATTATCTCTCTAAACATGTGAGACTGCAAGTTAATTAAGTTAAGTTAAGTTAATTGATTTAAAATCTACTAAATGTAGATTTTAAAACAGTTTTGAATTTTATATTCAAGGCTGCACTTTGCAGAATAATTTACAGTATTTACCTGCAGTACTTATTTACCGTAGAATGTAGAGAATGAGTATTTATCCATTAATGAAAGCTTTATAAACTGCTTCCACATGAATGTCGTGTAGCTCTCCAATTCGAACTGAGTTTTTTACATTCCATAGACATTTCAGCCACCGTTATGGCCTAAATTTCGGTCATATTTCTCCATTTAAATTCCCGCATTAAACGTTCACTGGAGTAATTTATCCGGAGCGACAGTAAGCCCACGGCGTCTACATTCCGGCTCATCATTTCGCTCAGTGTTTGTGCTGTCATTTCGCTCACTGTTTGTGCTGCTCATTTCGCTCAGTGTTTATGCTGGTCACTTCGCTCAGTGTTTGTGCTGCTCATTTCGCTCAGTGTTTGTGCTGTCATTTCGCTCAGTGTTTGTGCTGTCATTTCGCTCAGTGTTTGTGCTGTCATTTCGCTCAGTGTTTGTGCCGGTCATTTCGCTCAGCGTTTGTGCCGGTCATTTCGCTCAGCGTTTGTGCTGATCATTTCGCTCAGTGTTTGTGCTGTCATTTCGCTCAGTGTTTGTGCTGTCATTTCGCTCAGTGTTTGTGCTGTCATTTCGCTCAGTGTTTGTGCCGGTCATTTCGCTCAGTGTTCGTGCTGGACACTTCGCTCAGTATTCGTGCTGGTCATTTCCCTCAGTGTTCGAGCTGGATATTTCGCGCAGTGTTTGCGCCGATCACTTCGCTCAGTGGAAGTGGTTTGTCATTTCGCTCAGTATTCTTGGCTGGTCATTTCGCTCAGTGTTTGTCGCGGTCACTTCGCTCAGTGTAAGTGGTTTGTCATTTCGCTCAGTATTCTTGGCTGGTCATTTCGCTCAGTGTTTGCGCCGATCACTTCGCTCAGTGGAAGTGGTTTGTCATTTCGCTCAGTATTCTTGGCTGGTAATTTCGCTCAGTGTTTGCGCCGATCACTTCGCTCAGTGTAAGTGACTTGTCATTTCGCTCAGTATTCTTGGCTGGTCATTTCGCTCAGTGTTTGCGCCGATCACTTCGCTCAGTGTAAGTGGCTTGTCATTTCGCTCAGTGTTTGTGGCGGTCACTTCGCTCAGTGTAAGTGGCTTGTCATTTCGCTCAGTATTCTTGGCTGGTCATTTCGCTCAGTGTTCGCTCGTAAGTCTCAAGTATAGCCAATAACTTTTGAAATATTCGCTGTTGCTTCTAACCGCGCAGCCTCATTTCCTGCACATTCCCGGTCCTGTAATAACCGTCGTGCCTCATTTGCTTGCTGATTCAATGGAGTTCTTCTAAGTTTTATTTGCTTAATTTGAAACATTTATGTCGTTTCCCTTTAGTGAGATTAAATTTTTCAGGCATGTTGGCCCTGAGCTGATTACATTTATCTCCATAACAATTATGGAGATAAATGTTATCTCCATAATTTATCTCCATTATTTACTTCATTGCCAAATTTCCTGGCTTTTTTTGCAATTACTTGTAAATAAATTAAAATTGTAGAGTATCCACAATTACTTCAGAATCACACACTATTTTCCAGTTATTGAATTCATAGAATAATTTGCAACTATAAGCATAAATGAAACATTGGAATGACAGGTGAAAACCTGTATATATTTCCGATTTAATTTCCACATTTACAATAAATTTGTTCTTCGTTTTCATTAGAATTTATTTACAGGTATCATGAATATTTTTTATTGCCAATCAACTATGAATTTAAAGTAAAATAATCATAATAATTAAATCCACGCAAATATTAAACAAATCGTATATTAATCAATTTATTCCTGACATCAGCATGAGATTATTTATTTTTTCTTGGGAAAAAAAATTCAACTTGCGATGTTGATTGTAAAATCGAAATCATCTAAAGTCAAAAAGAATTAAATGGGATCTGATGCGTTAGTGGGTAATATGAGAAAGATGAATAG